CTACTTCTACCTAGCAATGTAGCTGCGCGTTAGTAGTACTGGTACTAACACTGACGCTAACATTTGTCAGAGGTAACGCTGATTATAGCAAACGCTGGTGCTCATGCCTCTTCCTAATTTCTATTCCCCGTAAGTACATGTTTGGGGCCCTGAGCACAGCAGAGCATGCTTTGGTTTCCGCCCTCTCAAATCTATCCATCAGGCTGTGTCCGTTTCTAGTAAGTTCGGAAAACGAGGACTAGGATACTGGCACTAGCCATACGTGCCTATGCTAAAGAGCTAATTCTAGTAATCATGCTTACTAAGGCCAGTAAATAGTATACTATAATACGGCCTGTATGTGCTTTTTAGGAAGTTTGCACACACTATGCACTCCCAATCTGTATGATGTAAATTGGTTAGTTTATGGTTTAAAGTAAAGCGTTATTAGATAATAGCACGAGTTTTAGCATGCCTTTATTTCGTAGCATTTGCCATCTATAGACTGCCTACAGGCTTACTACAGTATCTAGCTCGAACTTAGACTTTACAGAACGTCAGTAGTAGCTCAAGTGTTATCATGCCTTTATGTCGCATGACTACTACTAATCATAATGGTGCGCAATCTATCTTCAGGTACGTGTGAACGTGAGTAACAACAACCTGGCCATTTTGATTTACCTCATGCGCTTGACGAAGGCCCTGATTGATAACCAGCACATCTCCCTGGAGGCCTACCTTCACCTCATTGTGCCCACCGTGATCACATGCATTCTCTGTCGTCAACTCTGCGCTAAACCCATCACAGACAATCACTGGGCCCTGCGCGACTACGCTGCCAAACAGCTGGTCACCCTGTGCAATCGGTGAGTTTAGACATTTTTTTCTTTGTAACTTGGGCAGCCAATGCACTAGTATTAGACCGCTATTTGTGGTGCATCTGACTCCCAGCAAGGAGTAGGCAGCAGTCATCGATTGATCATGGAAATGTTGTATTCACAGGGCTCGTCGCTGTTGAATCATGCGATCTGCACGTTCAATCCCCTCCGCCCGGTAACTGACCAAATTCTCATACGTCTATAGGTTTCCTGTAATTGTTAATTTTTCGCAGTGTTACAACCTCGTCGATGTGT